GGTTCCAAGGCCGCAGCAAGCCCAACCTTTGCACTCTTTCCAATGGCCCCGGTATCCACCTCGCCAACAAGAGAGAAACGAGCTCTTGGAGTCCAGTCATGCTGGATCAGAGCACTTGCCCTACCATAGCTGTTCACCCGAGCTTTCAAGAGTGTTAGTGGGTCCAGAGCATGCTGTGTACCAATGGTGAGAAGATTTTCATTGCTAGAAAAGCTATGTGAAAGCTCCGCACCAACAGCAGTGTTAGTCAGCGGGCTTACAATGTGGTAATACGAGGCATTTAGGGTGTCACCTTTATCATTTCTACATTCAAAAAGAGAACAAATAAATCAATATATCAATTAAAGTTGAATAACAACTTAGATAACCATCTATAATTGAACTTACAGAGTTAGAGAAGCAATGAGGTCAGCATGACTAATGTTAAGCCCTGCATTGTATTTGGTAAAGTTGCCAGAGGCAGTATCAAATGAAAGATCTGTCCCAACAGAGACCAAATTATTTCCAACAACACCAGAGAAGTTAACAATTGGATTTGCTGTCAATCCAATGCTGGTGCTGATTCCAGCATACTCATGCTGGTACTGGAGTTCCACCTATTAAACATTGAGAATGAGCAAATGTCATCAACATTCATCCAGGATAACTGAAAATATTATTATTGCTTACATTAAGTAAATATAAGAAAACGAAGAACCTAAAATGAAGTAATAATTTACAAGACAGGGCAATAAAAAATGCTTTTCACCTTGCCAGATTTCTGATCCGGAAAAATAAAGCTAAAAATTGTCTTCAGTCCAGGTGCAGGTTCATCCACAGTAACAGTTGTACGTAGCTGAAAAGTATTCAGTCCGATGAGATAAGTGGCATATGATCAAACTACTCGTCAGATTTTGTAGCATGAGACTTGTGATAACAATAGTCAATTGAATTATAAAGGATACTTAGATTCCTAATGTCGATACCATAGAAATGGTCATGCAGAGTCACAAAACAAAGTGATAAACCAGTTCTAAATCACAGGTCAAAAAAGGTTTCAATTTAAAATTGAAGAGCTTATAATTAGATCAGACAAGTCAAAATGAAATGACTCGTGTAATGATAATATTGTCCCAACGAGAAATTTCGACTCACGTTAGAGTTAGTGTCAACTTTGACATCAGTTGTGATGTTCTTGTTCTTCAGCTTAGTGCTGACATCAGCCAAATATATCTCACCCTTCCTGACTCCAGTCGAAGTAATTTCCTGAATATATAGCCATTGAAATCATCAATACAATGAAACCAAAACTATTAACAACAAATCAATGAATCCAAAATTCAACCTAACAACACAATAATCTCAAAATGAACAAACTTCTAATTTCATGAATCATCAATTATTGCGAAATAATCAACCAGAACAATCAACAAAGCTTCTTACTCGAACACTACAAATGCGTTACCAGGCAGGGTTTCAAAGAAAATGTAGAAAAAATTAAAATCCAAAAACGAGAATTAAAAAACAAAAACAAAACGTTTTACATGATCAGATTTAAACAAATAAAATAAAATAAAATCTACGTCAGGGACATTTTCTCGAAATATTTATTAATTAAAAATATAAATAAATAAAATCTTACCACTCCGGTAGAAGTGTAAGTGGTGATGGTGAACTTGTGGTCATTCTGGTAATCCTTGAACAAAAGATCTGCGTCGCGATTAACAACATAAGTGAGATGTTCACGCAGATTAAAGCACGGAAATGAAAAACAAAAAATAAAAAATAAATAAAGAAAAAGCCGAATGTGGTGAATGAATGAAAAGGAAAAATCGGTTACCTCGAGCTCTCTTGCCGATATCAGTGTAGAGACCTGGACCTTTCACCATGATTATTCGGAGAAAACTGAAGCGGAAAAAGCGAGAGAAGAAGAAGGAAAATGCGAGCAAGTGTTGGCAGAAGAGGTGAACGAAAGAGAAACCCTAATATTGGGGAGGTGAGGATGAAGCGTGGCCGTTAGATGCGAAGATGGAATCGCGTCCGTTGATTTAGAAGAAGAGGAAGAGTTGCCTCGAGAATCGGGACAAGTTTTGAGCTGGGAGCATATTCGCGTTCGCGTTTCGATTCTCTTTCTGGTTGTTGTTGGAGCAGTGCTACGTGTAAATTACTGAAGCACTAAATTTTATATCCATGTGTTACATGCATAATTTATGCTCTATATTTTTAATGATTGTAGTTAGTAAATTTTAAAATGTGTCTAAATAAAATTTTTTTTAAAAAATTATAATTGTATTCTGTTTAAAAAATAGTTACACAAATTATATCATCACTTACTTAATATCTTTCTTCCTATTCACTTTAGAATAATTATTTCTTGTTTTATATAAGATTCAATTTTTACATTATTTTGCATATTAATGGTTGTTAGATTAAAACATTTTATTTCATATATTTTTAATTAAATTTTGTTCTCTTAATTTGGTAAAGTCAATTAATTATAAAGATTTTAAAAAACATACACAACTAATTGATAAAAAAAAGTATTTAATCAGGAGAAATAAATATAATAAAGCACACTTTAACTGATTAAAAGTATATGATATGAGTATTAATTAGAAAAGAGAAGTATAATAAAAATAGTTTAAAAAAATGTGTATATATAGAACAAATTAAATTAACTAGTTTTTTTAATAGTGGTGATTTAAGTGATTGGGTAAGAAAGGTAGTAATTAATTAGAATAGGTGGGTATAGTGAGAAGCTTATTAAAAAATAACTCAAATAAGTAGGCTAAATTGTATTTTTCCTTTCTCTACTTTTATTAATCTAAAATTTTAGTCATTTTGTCTCTTTAATTTTAAAGATATGAAATTTTAGTTCTTTCGTCAAAATTTCATCTACTAATCGTTAAATTTTAACATTTATTCATATTTAAGTAATGTAACGTTTAGTACCATAGCATTTGGAAATAAAAAAAATATGCAAATAAGTTTTTTATTAATAATATAAATATAAATTACTCATAAAAATATATATAAATGAAAATCTTTTGTATATTATTTTCTGTTTTTTATCCATATATGTTATATTGTTAAATATCATATCATTTAAGTAGTAACAAATCACCAAATATATTATAATATAAAAATGCTAAAAAATTTCTATGCTATAAATAATTCATAACTTTTCATTAAAAATCCAGTTCAATAACTAACACTTTTATAAAATACCTTTTAAAACAAATATATTATAATATGCATTTAGGAGGAAAACGCCTTTTACTAGCTTATAATTAGTAGCTTAATTTTTATAAAAATACATTTTTATGTTATGTGCCAATGTTGTATACTCGCACTAAAGTATAGTTTGGTTTGGTTTGGTTGATTTTATATTCTCAAACTGCAAGTTGAACCAAATTGCGTGCATGGTTTAGGAAAATAAAAACCAAATCAAACTACTAGTTTGTGGTTTTCTATTAGTTTGTAATATTTTGGATCAATTTTTAGTTTTCCATTTAGGTTTGTTCAGATTTGAACACCCCTATTTAAAACCTATGAGGTAAGCAATACAAAATCATATCTCATAAGTGGAGTGTCCATAAAAGGCGCAAAATGAAAAATATTACTATTAACAAATAAAGGTAGCTCAAAGCATTTGCTACTTCATTTACCTCCTGGAGAATATGTTTGGAAGAAGTTGATTCAATTTGGGAAGTCAGATTCTTAATTTTCATCAATAGAAAAAAAAAACATATGCACTCCTATATAACCTTCCACGATGAGTCATATTGCAACTTATGAATCTAATTGATCTTAGAGAAAAAAAAAGAAAGAGAATGAGAATTAAGATTAGTTAACACCAGGTGTAAGTCTAAAAACTTACACCAAAACTTATATTAGTTCACTCAACTAAGTTATGTCCAATTACCTTCAAACTCAAAGGATTCTACTAACGTGAACACTTTTACAAACGAGTATTCTAAATGTCACTCTTGACTTCACCAAGTATTCTCTATGTCATTCTTAGCCAAGATGCAACAATACATTTGCAGTATTCTTTAACTAGCCTCTTCAGGCTTACAAGAAAAGATTTTGAGTGTTTACAAGTTAACTTTCACAAAGAGGATATGTATGTTTAGGTATACTCAAAAGAACTTTTACTTGTTAAGACAAGAATAACTAACTTAAGCTTTTTCTTCAGTCGTCCATTGGACAATGGTAATACAAGACATTAAGACTTTGAAGAAATTCTTTAGAGTTTTGACACAACTAAAGAGAGCATTTATACAATATTCACAAAGTTCTTATTTTTTCTTCAAGTCTTCTTGTATTTGCAGGCTTTAGAGATATATTTGTTGGTAAGAGACTTGACACTTGATCGTTTGAAGTGTGATCTTCATTTTTCACAATATGGTTGTTCTCAACACTAGCTCAAATGCTCTGGGGCTTCATATATGATTTGGCTTGATAAGGGAATGAAGCAAAAAGCATTGACTCTAAAGAGTTGTTGTATACATCGATAATTTTCTTTGTGACTACCTTTACTTTTTTGGAAGTCGTATTGATTCAATCTTGCTGTACTATTTTGTGCACATTCATAAAGAGAAAATAAAAAATATAATATTTATAAAATCCATAAATTATTAGAATGCTTATCAATATATGTTTTTTGGGCCTTTAAATATGTTTATTAAGAGCATGAAACGTTTAACAGAAATGGAGTTGTGATCACCTATAAGATGGAGATATTCATCATAGGCATTGGATGTTGGACGTGGATGCCAACTATCCTATTTTACTAAGTGATACACTTGTCTTATTTTATGTGTTTGTAAAAGAGATTTATTTATAAGAACATTTTTTGTTCTTCATTATTTTTACATCCTTAAACATGAGCTTCCTAAAATGACTTAGACAATCAAAATCATTCAAAATCATTGCTTTGTTATCATTAAAGTTGGAGTGTTAGATGTATGAAATCGTCTTTAATTCAAAACTTTGGATATGGAAAAAACTTAGCTTGAATCATCTTTGAGTCTAGGGTTGCCTAACTGAGGTTAAACATTTTAATCACTTGTAGAAAATGATGGACCTAAAGATAAGTTTTTTCTTATATATATATATATATATATA